ACACCAGATGCAAATAAAATAATTTATGAGAAAGAATATATTCCTTTTCCTTTACTCTGGATTAGTAGCTTACAGGCCTGTAACTCTTACTCTACAAAAAACAAGAAGGAGGAAAAAACAGGAAGAAAGTTATCTGAAGAATTCAGCCCTAAAAGCAAATCTTAAACCAAATATACTCATTTGATTTGTTTGCACATAGTAAGATTACACAGAAATCAGTAAATATTCAAGAGGTTTTAGAATTTGGCTTTTTTTTTTAATACATATATTTATAAATTCTGACTGAAACTACAAATTCAACAGGTAGTAGCAACATATTTGATATCAAAACTAGAACAAAACAAGAAGTCAATATTGTTAAGGCATGATGTTTTGAAAGAGTCACATATCTAGCTGCCTTAATTATTTACAGAGTTCTCAAAGCACTGTTTTAACAAAAGGACAAATCAAGCATGATTTGGTGTTTGAAGGGTTACTAGAACAAACTTTTATGAAGTACCATTTTAAAACCATAGAATATTAATTCGATGTTGAAGTCTGATTAAACAGCGCAACACTGATCATAAGAACAATGCAATATTATTTACATGTTATTTCCCTGTAACGATCCCCAAAATTGCCACTAGCTGCTAATTCATTGGAGACTGCTGAAAATACACATTTTTCTGGAAAATCACCGCCTTCATTCTGCAAGCAGTGTTGAATTCCATAAGGTACACTATGTGCCTCCACTTCCACCTGCGAGAGAAGCCTCAGTGATCACACCTGCGCTAACCGTGGCTGGCAGCCTTCCTTCGAGCAGGGCCTCGCTTCTGGCAAGGCTGAGCCGCTGCCATACGGACCGCCAGAGAATCCCATCAGACGTTCCCGCTCATGGTACATATGCTCTATCCACCGCAGTAGCTCAGGCATAACAAAACTGTTACAGCCTGTCCAGCGTACAGAAACAACACAGAAGAATCGTCTGATAAAAAGTCACATACTGACCAAGATGCCATTAAAGAACTAGTTGTATGAGACTTAAAGGTACTTCCCAGAGCTAAGGAGAAGGAAAACAAAAAGATGGGGGTGAGAAATGAACACTTCCCTACAGGAAGAAACTAATACACCTCAACTGAATCCAACCTCTTAAAGTAGATAGTTCCAGCTAATTCAACAAAAATACTGCAGCAGGAAAACAATGAAAAGCAGATTACCTTCACCCACAGGCTGCTATGTCCCAGGATAGAAGACCTCAATCTCTTTCTAATTTTTCTTAGCGATGATAATATTTATTACTACTTGGAGGTCTCCTAAAGGCTTTAACCTCTATGAAAAAATCTTATGCCTGTGACATGCTCACGTATTATATTTACTCTAACAAATAATCTAATTGATTCTGAATTAGTCAATTTCACTGAATTTTTGTTGGTTCCTGAGTTACAAAAACGGCTGAACAGAGCCATACTGAAGCAGAGCAGAGAACCAGCCAGACAGGACACTGGAGTGAAGTGGCAAGGAGCAGTTCTCTACAATAGAGATTCAGAAAAAAAATAAATACAAATGCACTTTCCCCAGTACACCTATAACTGGCAGTTAGTCTAGCACTCAGGAGCTTCCCAAGCCAAAAATCTTTCACTGTAACTTCAAATTTGGTAGGCCTTAATAGACTTTATTACCTCGTCTTTTTCATACACGTTTACATATTTTTCACTATCCGCCCCTACAGTAAAGGGATTCCAAAGCTTTCAATGTCTTTTTGCATTGAACTTTTATTCTTTATTTAGAGTCATTCCCATCTCTAAATCCTCTATACACTGACTATACCAGTAAGACTACTAAAGCTGCAACAATATTTGGTGTAATGGTACACCACTGTTTAACAAAGACAGAAAATTTCCTATATTCCTTATGCACACTAATTTGCATTTTTTACTTAATTTAAACTGAGTTGTCACCAATGACAAGATACTTTTTCCTGAAATGATACAACGCACTGCATTCTAAGTTATCTTGTAAAAGGCATTTAAATAATTCCATCTAATCTACACTACTTTTAATTTGTTAAAAATAAATGTCACTTGCCTTTGTGCTATCCATTCACTTAGCTTCACATTAGGTTCTCTGAAATTGTTCAGTCTCTTCTGGTCTTTATTAACAACCACATTATACTATCTTGAATATTTTTAGATGATTCCTGATTTGCACCATTGCCTTGTAGGATCCAACTGTCAATTTTTTACCATCATGAAATTCTTTAGATTTCTCCTCTTTGGCTAATAGACAGTCAGCAGACTCTAACGCACAAGCACTTGCCGCTCTTCATGACTGTTCCATTACTTTAGCTTACTGAAGAACTGCTGCTTTGGATGCCTTGATAAAATAGAGGCAAAACGAACTAGTACTCCCTTTCCTCCTCTCAAGTCTTAACCACGAATCAATCCAAGGCCACGCTTCAGTTTATCATTGCTGAACCAAAGACTAAAAAGTACAGGAAAGAAAAATAACTCTGGTCCAATACACCTTGCAGGCCAACTGAAAGGATTTTAAGTTTAAGAACAAGTGAATATTCTCTCGTCTCCAGAAAGTGCAAGAGCAGAGAATTCACTTCTGGATAGTCTTTTAGTCCCCAATATGTAGGGGCTAAGAGCGATAAACAAGACAAATCATTTTTCATTCATAAAGGTGCTGAACAGAGCTGAACCGAGATTTCCTTCCTTCTCTCCTCAGAAAGTCTGTTGGCGATAGCTAGCTTGGCTCCCCTGAGCACATGGAAACACGCCAACTGTTATGCTGGGGGAGTCATCACTGAAGAAAACAGATAAACAGGAAGATGCAGCACTACCCTGCTCAAACTGCAGGATGGTGTCTGCGTGCAAAGCCATCTCAAGCAGCGCACTATCTTATGTGGGCACGTTATTTTTTTAATCTCATCCTGCAGACTAGTCAAAGAAACAACTGGAGAAGAAAGGGTATAAAGCTTACGCTTTGAAAGCCAGTTTAGGGAGCAGAGAAATTAAAGGAATAAGGCAAGGGTTTGATCACAGCGGACTACTGACTTCAAATATTCTGCTACATACTTCTATTGCTCTGCAGTAGCAATACGCAGAGAAATATCCTACTCTCCCAGCCCCAATAAAAAAACCTTGGTTTTGTGTCTCCTGCCTCAAAGAATATCTGCATAATGATAAAATTTTGTAGATGCATACAAGACAGACAAGCTGAAGAGTACTGTTACACCTTTCCCTGCTTACACAGGCACACACTGTATTCTCCCAAGCTTGAAGAAAGGATTCATGGGAGCTGTGCTTCAATGGCTGCTACACACGCATGTGCGGGGCGAAAAGGGGAATGGCCATCCTGTGAATACATGCCCCAGCAGATTTAGTCTGTCCTACAGTCAGTAAGCAGAAACCTTAGATTAGATAAGAAAGTCTGCTTGACACAGAGCTCATGGCTTGCATCTTACAGAATGCATCCAAGTATTAACAAAGCTGAAGGAAAAATAAAAAAAAAAATAAAATAAAAGACAAGCAACAGAAATATCAAATGTAGAACAGATCAGATCAAAATCTCACTGATTGTTTTGTAGACTAAAGCAAAACTAGAAATATTCACCAACTTTAGCCAGGAAAGCTAAATTCAGAGAGGTATTTAGTTTCTTTATAATGCTCTTTCCTCTTCAGTTTCAACAGATGAGGTAGCTAAAAATAAATATAAATCAACACAAAGCAAGCCACAACTGGCTCAGTACAGCTAGTTAAGAGCAGTAACATTCCGAGTGAGGCAAGAGGATACATCTGATTACTGAAGTATCTTGGATAGCTAGCTACCCAACTATTCTCCATTTCAAAAGTCTAAATAATTATTATGTTGCAGAAACAAGTCATGCTGCAGCAGATGCTGCCATACAGAAACACCTGCTCCTTCAAACACCAATACAAAAGAAAAAAGAGCAATAGCCATCTTCCTTTGAAAGGAAAGAATCCAGCTTTGGAGGCCAAGGACAAGGTACTTAAATACCCCCAGCCTGTGGGCAGAACCCAAAATAATCCATTCAGTACTCTGTGCTAAATATAGAATGCAGTTGCCCTTGACCCAGCCCTGCTCACGTGTTGATAGACCGTCAGAAGCAACACATGCATTTACAGGACTGAAGGGTCCAAAAGACCCTCTGGAGCAAACTTCTTTTTTCAAGGACAGCTTGATGACAATGACTTAGATTTTTACAGACTTGTGCAACTAATAGATATTCTGGAATGGTTAAATCTGTTTCTTTCCCCACTGATTTTTCATTAGGCAGTTATTTCACATAATCATAAATTCTAATTCACTGGTCAGGTTAAACAGCTGTTCACATAGAACTGTGGCAGTACTTAAGTGCTTCTGTTCCCTCTTTGACCAACTGGCAAACCAAAAGTGTTATCTGACTACCTGTATGAATGCTCATCTACATTCAGACTAGTGAGCACTTATTGTTGTAGCTCTTTCCTTGAAAACACACATGAACACAAGATGTTACTGTAAGCATTTAGGGGAAATG